ATCAGTTTTAAGAAGATTGTAAAAAAAGGTTTCAAGAAATTTGAATTTCATGTTTTCTTTCTTTATGATTGTTGCAGGGTTTGGTGTAATTGAGGCTTTGTTGTTGAAGAAGGAAGGGCTGTGTTGTTTGTGCATTATCTTAGTTTAAAAGTAAAGAAGAGCTCACATGAATGTATAAGCTAATATCTGAAATTCTGAATATTTATTTATTTCTGAGTTTTTCTTTTTCTTCTGATTAAAATCATCTGGAAAAATTTGTATACAGACTCCAATAAATGGAAATAAAAAACAAAAATTTGGGCCAGTAAAGAAATAAATAACAAATCTTCATGTGAGCTCTTCTTTACTTTCAGTGTGCAAATATTATTGAATTTCATAAACATCATTGTGCAACCTTTAGAGATTAATACATAATCTTCGAGAAATTTTAAGAAATGCCATTTTTCAAAAATGTTACATTTTCAAAATCTTTGTAAAAATGTCATTTTTTTCAAAACTGTTTATTAATTATATCATTTATGTTTGGGTAGACTATGCTGTATTATGGTTTAGTTTTGAGGGTTTAAAGAGTTTTAGGGGTCAAAATATTTTTTAGGGTTTAGAATTTTAACATTTAGACTTTAGAAAAATCCATAATTACTGGTATTTTTGCAAATAGACAACCCAAAGTAGCAGTTTTGCAAATGTACACACCAAAAATGATATTTTTGCAATTGTCCAAATCTTCTAAACTATATTTTCTTAATTTTTTTTTCATTTTTGTTTTATTCTTGCTTTTTTTAAACGTTTTAATATTATTTTGGCTAGGATTCTTTCTATTTTTTTATTCATGTTTAACAACATCTGATAATGATTGAGTTCCAAATAAATTTCAATTTAGAAAAAAAAAAACATAACAACATTAAAATTATATACAAATATATCTTTGTTATGTTTGTATAAAATGGAGTCCGTTGGTCCACTTTTCCTTAATGTAGAGTCCGTTTGTCTTTTTTTTTTTACAGAATGGAGTTGCTTATAATTCTTTAAAAGAAAATTGAAAATATATACAGAACGGAACATTTGGCAGTAATTAAAACTCTGTTTTTGAAACACACAATTCCGGTAAATTATTCTTGTCAATTACTTGGATCTAAATAGTGTCACTGAGGTTCGTGGAATATGATTGGCTGAATGGTCACCATTTACATCATCTAGGCTGCATATATAAATTATTGTCAATATATTTTTCACTCTTCTTGATAAGTAAGGAGAGTGAAGAAGGAACTGAAATTAAAGAGGCATGAAGCAGTTTAGTACTTATGCAGTAACTAATTAGTAATTTTAAGTAGCTCAATTGTCTTAGTTTGAAACTAATTAAAAAAGGTAATATAAATATCTAGAATCAAGAGATTTGATAGGATCAGTAACTAGAATATATAGTCTTTAAGGGATTTAATTATATACTAGATAGTTATCCGCGGGATAATGTGATGCGCGAGTAAAACTAATATAGTTTTAGTTTAAAAATTATCTATAGTTATTGAAAAAATTATTATACGAAATGTAAAACTCGTTTATATATATGAATTTTGCAATTATTTTGTAGAGAAATATATTCCACCTGTGAAATAATTGAAAACAACAAATTTTTAGTTTTTAGTCGATATATATCACTTATCAATGAAATGTATTTATTTAATATCATAATCTTCAAAAATATGGTTTATAGATCAAATATACAAAATAAAATATTACAAATATGAATTAAATTTTATAGGTTTAAGGTAAATTATAAGAGTAAATGAATATTAATAGTAAACTTTCTTTTATTATCATTTTTTAAACAAATCAAAAAAATTGGTTTGGTTGGAAGGATTGTGTGATTGTGTAGTGTTTGGATAATAGTATAGTAAAAAATTAATAGAATTGTGGAGTGTTTGGGTAATAGTATAGTAGAGAATTAATATAGAATTAGTTTTTAATTAAAAATTCTAAAAAATTGAGAGTTTGACCACTAAGGAAATTAATAAAAAAATGTTTTTCCTTTAATATATAAAGGAGGATAAAAACATAATTTTACAGATGATAATGTTATTTTGGTCAAGTAATACTGTAATAGCCATTCCATATCTAATTCTAACTCTCCATACTCTAGTAACTATACCTTCTAAATCTTGATCCTTGCGCCATCTCTTAATTGTTTTTTTTTTTTCTCCTTTTTCGATTTCCTTAATTTGATTTTTTCCATCAGTTTAAATTTTGGTTTCACTAGACATATAGTAATTTAGTTCGTTTCAAAGTAAAATTGATTATAAGAAAATAAAATAATGAGGCTAATAATTTATTAGTGACTAAAAGCTTTATGCTGA